TCCTCCTCCTCCTCCTCCAGCTCCAGATGTGCACAACGAGGAAGAAGACGCCGGGAGACCCACGTTGCTAAAAAGACCAGCGACGCTCCCGTTTGTGTGCTGAGATATGAGGCTCCTGCTGCGTCACGTTTTCATCCTGCCTCTCTTTACACACACACATACACAGTGGCATGTGACTGCTGCGTCACAGTTCTCTCAAACAAACACACACTCAGGACAAAAACTCAACAATAATTTCTGCCACTGTTGCAGTTCTAGATCCCTTCTTCCCATCAGGATATAAATGATTTTCTGTACAGCTGATGATCTTCTTACAGCTTGTTTATGTGCTTCAAGCAAATGTTTTATTCTTGTTTCTACACTTGTAAAAAGGTAAACTGTTTTTCTCTTTGACTTTTATTCACTGAGGGGTTTTTTTACGGTGAAAAAAAAACATAAGAAATGAAAAACACTCAACAGAAGAAACTCTGAGACAGGCGGCTCAACGTGTTGCAACCATGAGCTTCTCTCTCATGTCTCCTTCGGTTCTCACTATAATCTGAACCACATCAGTGTATTAATGTGTCGTACATTTCCCCACACATATTGTTCTGATCACAGCACATCTGCAGTGTGTTTCCATTAAAAATATTCCTTCTGATCTACAATCACAGCCTTCAGACATTCCTGGACCAAAAGGGAGAAAACTCTCCCAGAAGCCCCAGCTCCACGCAGCAGGGAAGCCTGATGGTTCCCAGCGTCGTCCTCCAAACTGACCGGTTTAATCTTTGAACCTCACAGCAGACAGCCCGTCAGCCAGCGGCGTCCTCGGGCAAAACCCAGACATGAAATCTAAAAAAACATCTCATCAGGAACGTGTAACGTCTTCAGGACTATCGTGTGTCAAATGTAGCGTCTGAAGTCTGCCGACGCCTCTGAACTCTGACCATCAGAGCAGATGATGACACGCAGTAACAACGTTCATCCTAATCTACAACAACACAACCAGTGTAACGTAATAATATACCCGTCTGCAGCTGGATGGAGCTGAGCTACACACAGCTGGATCAACAAACACAACGTGTGTGTTAATTCACAGTTCAGGTTTATTAAAGGGTGTGTCAGGGAGGGGAGCCGTCTCAGAACCGTCTACATTTAGAATCATTTTACTACTAATTTACTTTGCAACAAGTGGATCGAGTTGCACCAGTTGAATACATCTGGTTTTATTTCGACGTATAGAGCTCAGGAGCAAAGAACGCAAAGAAGAACTTCACAGACATCATAATACAATACACAATATTCCTATTATATTGATTTTATTATCCATCTGTGACAAATCATTTTTTATTCACAGACATGTCAAGTTTCAGGCAGTTTTTATGGTAAACTTTCTCTTTTTCAGCTCATTAAATCAGTGTTGTAGTACTCGAGGCTGGTCTTGTCTTGGTCTCAGACATTGAGGACTTTAGATTTTATTTCAAAACAGTCAATATCATTAATTGCCAGACTGTTTATTTGTTAACATCCTTGCTTTCAATGGGTGTAAAGTGTACCGATTTAAATCCAAGCATGACTCATCGATAATTATGTATTTCTGTTAGTGCCGTCACCCACAATTCAACTACATAAATCAAAAAATATATATCTGTAAAACAACATCCATGGAAAAGCATATAACAGTGCTTCGTTTTCAGAGACAGCAGGGACTACATCAAACTTTTATCGTCACTTAGAAAGGACGCACAAAGAAATGCATAAGTGATGTTAGCAAAGCTAGCTAGCTAGCATTAGTAATCTGAATGTGTCCCACAATTCTTTAAATTCACACAAAGAGATTTAGTTAATATTAGCTGTACATATTAAGTCAGCGACCTGCGTACTGAATGTTTTTGGGTACTCGTTCCCTTTTTTTTCCCCTGGTCTCGACTTGGATTCAGGTTAGATGGTTTTGACTACAACACTAAGCTTCCCTTGTTCGTGTGTTTAGTTTCACCACAAGTAGCAATAAAGCAGAAAGACAAGAGGAAAGAGAACCTGTTTAAAAGTACCTCAACCAATAACAGCGTCGGTGCTGCGATTCTTGGATCATACAAAAAATGCTGTACATCTTTGTTACTGAAAAGCTAAAAATCAAAGCGCTCTATTTTAAAAGTCTGAAAGCTTGAAGTAAAAGAAGAAGAGGAAGACTCTGTTAAACAGCTGTCATCAGCACCTGATGTGTAAGAAAGTAAGAGCTTCTGGATGTGATTACATGATATCGGACTCGGAGTCGTGAATCAACACAAACACAAAACCTAAACCCCAAAAAAAGAAAAAGAAGCCCCACCCTGCCCCAGTCTTCACATGATGTAAGCAACACTGTGTTCTGGTTCTGTAACACATAAAGTCCGACATGCAGACAAATTATCAGCTGACGTGCAGATTAGATCAACAACAAAAAGTAGGAAAATCACCCAAAGATATTTATATATTCAATTCTTCCGTTATTTTTCTATTAATTTATTACTTTACAATAAAGACAGAAAAAGTGACTTTCTCTTGCCTCAAAAACCAAACATGAAGAAAATTTAAGAAACAGTCTAAAACTCACCCCGGGACGCCTCTCCTGCCTGTAAAGTCTTTGTTTTGTTGCTTTTAACCGAATGAAAAAAGGTTCAGTAGAGGACGAAGTAAGACCACGGGACAAGTGCAAAGGAGTGGACAAGGTGAGAGGAAGAGGAGACGAGGAAGGAGGAGGAGGAGGAGGAGTTGTGTGGCTGACTAACAATCCTCTTAGCCTGGTTATGTCATGGACCGAGCTAATCCTGCCTTCACTGACTGACCAACACACACAAACACGGGCTAACTAACAGGACCAACACACACAAACACGGGCTAACTAACAGGACCAACACACACAAACACNGACCAACACACACAAACACGGGCTAACTAACAGGACCAACACACACAAACACGGGCTAACTAACAGGACCAACACACACAAACACACACACAAAGTTTGGTGCATGTGGCCTAACCACAGGGCTCATGTCTGGTCTGGGGTTAAATATGTGACTAAGATGCTTAAAAACATATAAAAACATCGAGGAGGAGGTCAGCTGCTTTTTTATTTTAAAGTATGACTCATTAGTGTGAGTAAGAAAACAAATCCTGGTTAGGATGAATAAACCTGTTTGTGTTTCTGTAGCAGCACAATAATCATTACTGTCACTAATCCCGTGATTTAATCTGCTGGTCGACACAAACACTCACTCCTTCATGAAAACTATTTTTAGGAAACACAACATGCCAGACCGCTGAACTGAATATTAATGAAGTATTTGTTGCAAATTTTTGACTGAATCTACAGAAAGTATCAACAATTTGGCTACCTGTCATTTGACTATGTGTACGTGTGCTTTTTTAAATTTAATTATCACTATTATTATTTATTACCTCAGTAGTGTACCCCATGTTGTGTTTTTTTATAAGTACATAAAAATGTAAATGTGTAATATTCTCAATGTTTCCAGAATAAAGAAAATAAAAATAAACATTTTTTTTGGTTTGAGCTCCTAAAATAAATAGCCACTTACTGAATCGGAGTGATTTGTGTGTGTGTGTGTGTGTGTAGATGATTCTGTTAGCAAAATATCTCATGAACAGACCAGACAATAATCACAGGGTTGACATCATACTGATCTTATTAACACAAAAATGGCTACAACCCAGTCAGTTTTAAAGATGCTGAGTTAAATTTTAGCATGGTAGTAGCTGAGACTGATCCTTTTTTTGTCAACATACTGTCAGAAAGACTGTCTTTTCTTTAAAATGTATATATTGTACATCACTAAGCTCTAAAGAATGTGGCTTGTTTGATGTTTTGATGTATAAATATCGATCAGATTGTAACTGATTCTTAAAAAAAWTGAACATATTTTTAGTTTGTTTAATTGCACTGACCTTATCTGTGCCGCTCTCTGCTGCCTCTGTAGTCCAGCTCTGCTCTGAAAGCTGCTGATTTCCTGAAAACACAGAAGTGAGCAGAGATTTCAGCTGTAATAATGTAAACGTGTTGAGTCAGTGGTAAACATGTGACTGACACAGACAGAAAACTTTTTTTAATAATATTTTAAAAGGCACTCAGCTGATCTGTACATTATAACAGTTAGAGCAGTGATTCACAATCTTTTTTTGCCAGGGCCCCCCTTTGGATTTAAAGCAAATTTGCTTTTAAAACAACTACAATCTCTTTTAAATAACAAAACAACAAACCACCTTTATAGTGTCACTGTTTTAGGTGGAACTGTTTTTTCACTTTGTGACAATARTCAACATAATCAATAAATGGTAGGGTTGGGCGATAATGGCCAAAAGATTAATCACAATAAATTGTGATATTTAGCTGATAACGATTAATATGGCAATTAATCCCCTGGGGTCCCTGGACGCCTGCATGCCCTAGTCACATGACCAKTTTAAATCACTCTAGTGGGAAATGTTTGTTCTCCGTAAAAATCTGTTCCAAATTACATGTATGTCAAAAGTACAGACTTCAGGCTAAGCATCAATTTTTAAATTGTATTGACAGGCCAAGTAAAACCAGAGTAATGATWAATAAATTGCAGAACTTTGTTTTTAAATGTTCGCCATATTCCAAGAGGAGAAAAGTACCGAGCGGACTTATTAGTCGTCGAGTGCCAAAAAATAATCYAATGAAGTTTTTCTGACYATTAACTGAACACGATACGATTTTACCCYACCCTAATCAAAGGTTTTCAAAAAATGTTTCTCTCTGCAAAATGGTTTTAAAAACATGAGAGGAAAAAAAGGTTTGTTAAACAAAAATTACARCTTTAATCCTCACTTCTTTGTGTTTATATGAGAGCCTCATCAGTAAAAAATATAAGTGGACATACGTCTACAACTGGTTAACTTTTAGAACCAYCCCAGTTCAAGATGGCCGCCATGGTTCCATCTAGGGACGGGCATTGCACATTAGCTCTGGCTATAAATGTTGTYGTGTATAGTATTGTTAATACTTGACACTTGTCCCTATTCAAATAAACAATAAATGAAATGAAACGGTTAAATAATATCAGTCAATGCAAAAATATCTTCAACACACTCAGTTTTACAGATGTTGAGCTGAAATCTGGTGTGGTAGTAGCTGAGAGTCGTTCAAAACAAACCCTCTCATTTATTTTGATATTAAAGTTTAACCAAAACTGCTGCAACTCTGTGATTCTCAACATAAAAATGATCTCAGAGTAAAACTTCTGCTGCAACCTGAAGTTCTGCGGCTCCTGAAGAATAAGAGGAAAAGAGCATCAGCTCATTATTTTTGTTTGTTCTCATGTTTTTTTATTTGAGGTCAACGTGATGTCGCCGCAGTCGTGTGTTGGTTTTAAACGAAGACTTGGCAGCTCTGTTACTCTGCGCTGACTGAAGGTGAAACTTAGAGCTTCGGAGGATTAGTTCAGATTCAAACTGTCTGGTTTAAAATGCTATTTATAGTTGACACAATGCAGAGAGTAATACAGAGACAAAAACAGTGTGCGTTATTTAAAAATACTGAATTTTCTGCTACAAGTTTTGAGATTTTATAGATCCATTTCAAAAGCAGGGATCAAACAGGAAGTGATAAAATATTATTTGAGGTGGGTGTCTGTTCAGTCCCAGTGAGAACAGTTTGCTCTCCACTGAAAGATCTGAGCAGAAACCAGATTTATTCTGCAGGAGGAAAGCAGTCCCTCTGTGTGGGAGGTGCAGACCTCCTCAGTAACTCACAGAAGGCACACATCCTGATAAATTAGCCTGAGGAAGTAATATTTTATAATGATCTGGTCCACAAAGAGCAATTGACTGCTTTAATAAGACATTTTATGATACTTAAACAAGCAGATGAACACAAGTTAGCAGGTGAAGAGCAGGAAGCCTCAGGGCGACGCGTTAACCAGCCTGTCAGACGACGCTGCTCGTTACGGCGTCACGTGGAGTTTAAAACACATCTGTACCGAGGAAAGGGAAACCCGAGGGAGAAGCTGTGTCTCTTCTCTCCACTGCAGGCGACAAAACGAGCTGCCGTGCTTTTCATCTTATTCCAGCTCACATTAAAGTTATTACAGAGCTGCAGGCAAATGACGTGAGACTGCGGCTGAGATCTGTTTACTGTCAGCCCAACGGTTGACAGACGTGAGGACGGGTGTGGCGCAACAGGGCTGATTTGGACGCAAACAGAAAGACGATGAAACTCAAGTTAATTAATGAATTCGCCGTTAAGAATAAACCTCGCAGTTCGTCGAAACGCGGCGATAATGAGGTTCTGATTGTGTTTTTAATGACTGAAACGCAGCAGCAGCAGGTGGCGAGGGTTTCCCGCCTCCACACGGGGTAGACATTGTCCGATCTTTGGCTCCAACAGGCACAGATTTCCCACAATTCACTGCCTTTCAGTTCAAGTTCTTTAATCAAAGAAAGTTATTTGTCAACCTTAGTGTCACTAACGTACTCTTTTAGTTAATGAAGTTTAAAATAGAGTATCGTATGACACCTCGTCTTCAGGATTCGATAAATCCTATTGCCCGACTGCCCYGGACAGGTAAAACCCATATTCAGGCAGGTGGGTGTGTCCAGATGCCAGCCCGACCGGGGAGGTAAACCATTTCTTTATTTTTTCATAGGGCCATTTATTCAAAATACTCTGAAAATAAAAGAAGAAACATAGRYTTTTAAAACACGTATAGAAAGAATAAATCCTCAAWTTTTTCCCCTCCCGCTGTAGAAAAGTTACGTTGTGCCATTGTGTCACCCTCCCTCCTGCTGCACGTCGCACAGAGCGAAGCTTTAACAACCATAGTTTTTTCTAGGGGTGTCCCGATACCAGTTTTTTCAAGACRGAGTACAAGTACGAGTACTTCAGTTWAGGTACTCACCCCTAGTTTTTTCACACCCATGTTTACGGAGAAACAAAAACATGTTTCTTCATGTATTGTTACCCAAAAAGATGACAAAAAAAAGATGTGGACGTTCATTCAGTCATAAATCCATCTTGTCAATGTAACAGAGCAGCAGCAGGTCAGTTCAGCAGGCAGAAGCTCAATGTATGGCAGGCCAACATTACATTTATTTGGCTTCACCACACTTACATTCCAGTTATCTGAAATTGTTTTCTGACTACATTAGACATATTAGTTATTTAGGATAAAATAATAAAATGTTTTATTTGATTATTTTGTTTTACTTACTTTTGTTTTTTGTTTTTTTTATTTGGAGACCTTTCCAGCTTGAGCTTGTTTCTTTGTTGAAGTTGATTTTTGAAAAGGGGCACATATTCAGGGTATGATTTACTTTGTTTTTTAAATGCTGTACATAGATTGTTTTGTTTTTATGAATGAAAGAAACAAATAAATAAAAGACATCTTTTAATATATTTTGACAAGACAAAATCCCCTTTTTCAGATATCTCGAATTATATTCTGATTAGTATAATAAAACATCAGATTTATCATTAAGTTGTAGGGAGACTCCAGTTCAAGATATCTTAAATGTATCTTTAGATATGAGACAGGCTATGTAAGATTCAATTAATGCAAATTTCAGATTTTCATGTTCTGTAAACTGCATTTAAAACAAAGCTGCTGCTGTTGATCATTCTGTTTTTATAAACAGTCCTCCCAAGACCAGTAGTCTAGGGGAAACACTGGGTTTTTGAAGATGTTTTTGARAATACAATTGACTGATTGAGTGACTCAGTCTGAAATGTTTGCATCTGTTTAATCAGATGTTATGTACCCCTGTGTGTAACCATGTTAATATCTTTGTAGTACAAAATATAGTACGTTTTTCTTATTTTATCAAATTTTGAATATTTTTGTTTCGGGCAGGTAACTTTTCATGTCGGGCAGGTAAAAAAAAATCTTGTCAAACCCTGCTTGTCCTTATAACCTCATAGCTCCTCCCATTCTGTCTTGTTATGTAACTATAAGCATCTTATCAGGATCATTACTGTCCGAGTCACTGACCTAACTTGTACACCTCTCCCTGGATTTGTGTGTCCGTTCGTTTTAAAGCCTATCCCTGAGGAAAGWCTGTCAAATCTATGTGAATGTGTTTGTACCTGGTGTCCAGGGMGGGCAGTGTCTGAGGTAGAAGCTGACCTCCGGCCTCCTGGCTCCCCACTGCTGCAGGAGATCCAACAGCAGCACCTCCTGAGGGAGGGCCCGCTCTGAGAGAAGATGAAAGGGGAGGTCGTGTTAGAAGAACTGCGACGTGTTCAGGAAAAAAAAATCAGTTTGGGAGTTAAACACAAAAAGTTGGAGCATTTATACCATCGAGAAGGAAAAACTAAAGTTCAAAGTGTGACAGGAGCTTTATTTTCATGATAAAATGCTCCAGATCATCAACTAGAGCATCCTGCCACAAACACCAACCTTTCGTACCCTGAAGACATGACCTCTATCACACAYCAGCCTTAATATGTTCCACTGATGTTTCCTCTCCGAGACACATTAGATGCACCAAGCTGTTAGCAGATGCTGGTGATTGAATGAAAGTGGGCCAGGTTTTAAAGGAGACGGTCTCTATGTGTCTGCAGGAGATGGAACGYTCTATTCAAGCTTATAGTGTCACACAATGAACAGGACGCACTTAGTCCTGTATCGATTCAACCAGCTGTAGCTGCACTGTGAGTCCGACTGTTTATAATTAGCTTCCAGGCCAGTTCACACTGTGATTATCCTGTCATATAATACCAGAATATAATCCTGTACGAGCATGGAGAGGCCGTCAGAAGATCTGTGAGGGCTGGACTCAGTGAATGATGATGAGGAAGAAGAGCAAAACAACAAGCGTAAATAATAATCCTGGGAACCTGTTTGTGTAGCCGTTGCTGCTGAAGCTAAATTTCTTCAGGGATGCTTTCTGATTTTCTGCACTGAAAGTACAAAACAACACTTTTGCTGCAGAGRCTGGGAGACCGTGGGGAGAGTCGGTCTCTTTCCTGCTCTGCAGGCAAACGAGCTGCTTCCACTTTCATCTGATTCCAGATCTCATACCTGCTGCTCTTCAACTTATTATAGATCCATAGGAAGAAAATAACAGAGAMCAAAATCAGTTTACTGMAGGCAAGACTTAAAGGGATTAGATAGCACACATGTAATATTAGTAAAGACAGAAAAGGGATGAACATTTCAAAACAAAGTCAGCATGTAGATACACTAAATGAAACTCAAATATAAAATATGTTTGAATTTTACTGAATGAGATGAACAATGATGCAAAATTTTTCCACTTAAATGACTCAAAGATGGCATCAGTGCTCACTGGACTCACCATGTCCGTTCCATACTTCCGCCAGGTGACACTCCCCCTCGCCGGCCTCTTTGCAGTACTCCACCACATCCACCACTCTGGTCGCCGGGGTCACCGGGACCTCGGTTAGCATCTGCTGGGCATCGTTGAGGTAAACCGTCAGAATCACCTGTAACCACAGAAACCAGCAGGTTAAAAGATCATCTAAAGCTGTTTTTTTAATCAATATGTGTATCATTACATCCCCGTGAATCTACAGACAAGAGATTAAAAGAACAATCAGAACAGGACATCTTGTGTCGTCACCGATGATGTCACTGCTACCGTTATCAYTGATGTCACTCAGATCGTGTGTCAGCAGCTGAAAGATAAATTGAGGGTAATCTGGGATAGGAGCGCACAGACGCTCCGCAGCACACAAACACAGATACAGATACACGTTTAATCTGAACGCTACTCTTCCTCCTCTTCCTCACACGCTGTGTTCTGTGTCTACAGAGCGCAGGAACACACACACACACACACACACACACACACACACACACACACACACAGATCAAATAAAAACTGCACACTAATCCACAATTTTCTGCACACCTGTCCCCGATCATATGAAGTAATCTCTAGTTGCATGGCCGCAGGCTGAGCAGAAGCATGTTTTAAAGCTTGGAGAACACACAAAACCACACACACACCTATGTCTCTATATCCTTGTGGGGACTTTCCATCGACTTCCATTTATTTTTTGGAAATTTTATAACCTAACCCTGACCATTTACCTTGAAACTAACCTAAACTCAATTCACACCTTGGTCGTAAACCCCCCACCCCACCACCACCCAAAACCAGCCTCCGAACTCATCAGGACCGGGCTTTGGTCCCCACAAGGAGCATTAGGTCCCCACAAGGCTGCGTTTTCCTGAAAAATTGTCCCCACTAAGTAGCAAAAACAAGGGCATACTCTCTTTCTCTCTCTCTCTCTCTCTCTCTCTCACACACACACACACACACACACACACACACACACACACACA